CAAAGCGGTTTGACTTGGCGGGATAATCTTTTGGTCTTTACATTTAGCATGGATCCCTCTGCCCTTTAAGGTTGCGACGACTTCCTACTGCTTTCTTTTGACAAGAGGCCTCATTCTCCAGTCTGTGCTCAGCAGACTTGGAACTCACTATGTACCGCAGGATGGTCTCAAAGTTGTAGCAATCCTCCTGCCTCAGTCTCCCGAGTGACAGGATGACAGGGATGAGGGTCCACACCTTGCACCTCCATTTCTCTACTGCCTGGTAAGAACCAAAATAATCGACTCCACTATAAAAGCCAAGAAAGAGCCAGGTGTGGCGGTATACACCCAGAGCGGGTCTGGATGAGCTCATGACCAGACTAGGCTATCTATCTGGTTCCAGGGCAGCCAGAGCTACATAACAGAGAAACCCTGTCTCAAAAACAAACAAAAAATCATGACCCATTATTTACTGAATTTTAAGTCTCTTTTAAGAAGTCAACAGGATGAGAGTCCAACTCAAGTCCTGGTTCTTATTTCTTCTTGGTTGTTCTGTTTTATTGGGTCTTTCTCTTAACAATCAGGCAGACCTGGTTAAAATGGGAACCACCAGGAAGTGCTGGAAAAGCCGGACAGCAGTGCCCAGCCCTCTCGCTTAGAACACAAACACCCATCCAGCCTCACCGCCTGACCGCCCATCATGGTCTCTGGCACAGGGAATCCAGGACGGACATCATCCTGGGTGGCCCAAGGGAGGAAGGCACACTAGTGGTGGCTTCTGAAGCTCAAAACACACAAGAAGGGTTTTCCAGGTCGAATCTACAGCCCATTTGCTCAGCCAAGGTCATGGAAAAGCCAGGAAATCTACCAGAAGAACGGTGTTCCCAGTAGGACACGGCAGCTTCTATGTGGGGGAGAAGCAAGGGCACACGGGTTCCATGTCAGACACCATGCATTCTGTCTCCACCTGAAGGAGTCAGAGGTTCATGCATGTAACCTAGCACACGAGGCTCAGACAGAAGGATTGATCTACAACGCTCTACATCAACACAAACCACACCACCTAAAAGAAAGGAGAAATGTCTGTAGGTAGCTAGCTACTTCACTAGAAAAGTAGAGACAGATGAAGCATTCAGGCATGGCGGAGGCTAGGGCTGTGCCCTGAGCCCCAGCGGAAGACTACTAGCAAAGGCAAATTCTCTTTTCTCCACTGAGAAAACGCTGATAAGACTCTTAACTTCATGGCGGTCACCGGGAAATGGCAGCATCTGAGGAAGAACTCAGGGCTTCCAGCACACCCATCCCTCTGCTGCTGCCTCTTCTCAGATGCACATATATACAGGCCACCTACAGAGGGGAGTGGGGGATCCCCCAAAGGCAGGCCCACCTCCTCAACCTCAGCACCAACCAGCGAGAAAAAAAAATTTGAAAAACAGATCTGTAGTCATATAAGTAAAGCTATTAAACAGAGATGGTTCTGGACTACTAACCCAGGTGCAAGTATCCTTATTAGAGACAGAGACTCTTGGAGAAGTCACATGAAGACACGTGGTGAAGCCACCAGACAGGGAGTTAAAGAGGTGCGGGATGTTCTCTCTCCTCCCCAAAAGACATGGTCTACTCTCTCCCACACTCACCTTAAAGCCTTGATCCCCCTGCCTCTGCCTCCCCAGTGCTAGGATTACAGGGCTGTACCATCATGCCCAGTTCTGGGGCACCTATTTAAACACTAGACCAGTGTCTGTCATTTACAAAGGTCCATGTGGTCACTTCCAGCTCCAGAGTCTCATCGGCCAGGGCTGGAAAGCTCTGTCTGCCCCATCACACCATAAAGGACTGTGCCCTGGCCAGCACACATCACATGCCAGTGACTCATGAGCCGACCATGACACCAGCAACTCCATGAGTCCAGGGACACCTCTCCTTCAGCCATGGGGGCTGCATGTCGGGTACACCCAACAGAGAAGAAATCCCCAAGGCCAAGAGACCTCCGAGGAGGCAAAGAGGAAGAGGGGTGCAGTTCTCTTTCCTTTCTTCCACAGCCATGATGCCTGGGATCTCCTGGCTACACACAGTAGCACTAAACCTGGGGGGTTTTCCTATTTCCACTCTGCTCCTATAAAGTGCCTACCATAGAGAGAAATGCACACAAGGTCACGGAACGCGCCACACGGGCACTGCCATCTTGTCTAGTGAGCTCTCTGTGTTCACGCCCCCCACTCAGTGACAAAAGAACAGGGCCTGTCTGGTAACGCAAAGCCTCGACTCAGCTTTGGCATGGCACCGGTGGGTGGGCCCAACTCTGAGGGGAGAAGGGTACTTCGTTTATGCTTCTCTCCCAAGCAAAGCTGTGACCCGAACATCCAACATCAGGTTCCAGGTGCTGACCACAAGGCTGGGTTTCCAGCAGCACAAGGAATATTCACAATCCTTCATACTTCCTCTTTCTATTGGAGCGATGACCACGCTCACAGAAGGTCCCCGAAGGTCCTTGCTCGCTAGCTCATGCTGTCAAAAGGACTGGCTTCCTTAGGAATGGTGAGTATATTGCATTTGGTGCACAAAGTCAAACTCAGATACACAGCTTCTTCTGGCCAGGCTTGCCCTGCCTGGGCTACAGCAATCTTGCCTTTCCCCGGGGCTGCGGTAGTCTTGCCCTGCCCGGGGCCGCCTTAGTTTAAGCAAAAGCAGTTGATCCCCCACACACACACACACATCACCACCACCACTGCTCACCTCGGGTGGTGTAGCCGCCAATGACATAAATCTTCCCCTTGCACTCGCAGGCAGAGAACTCAGCCAGAGGATTTGGCAGGGGAGCCACAAAATTCCATGCATCCTGCTCAGGATTATAGCACTCCACGTTGGACACCGCCTGCCCACCGATGGCATAGAGCTTCGAACTGGCAGCCACGAGTTTGAAGTTAGAGCTGAAAGAAAGAAGCAAGCCCACAAGGTCAGTCCTGGTCGAGATGTGGGGAGAGGAAGCTCTCCAGCAGATGGTAAAGCCATTCTGCCTGAGGGCTGCAGAGGGAACCTCTCAGTGGCCGGTACCCTGGTACCCACAGCTCCAGGTTCTGCTGAACAGAAATAGCGGATGCACAGGCATAAGCAACTGCAGACAAGCAGCCCCTGGTGACAAGGACCAATCTTGCCTGTGGGCCTGAGGCCAAGAACCAGGGCCTCTGTTGCACACTTAACTCAGTTTGCCTCCTCTGAAGACATCACATCTGGATCCAGAAGGCAGCTAGACCCAAATGTGTGAATAGCATATTGCATCTGTACTGGACACGTACAGACAACTCCCCCATAGATTACACAGCAGAACAACTACCTAAAGAACACATTCATTGATTAGATGTTGCTTGAAGTCCAGAGATTAATTCAAGGGCAGGAGGCCGTCTGAGAGCTGTGTAGGGCATGCTATTTTAAATAGGGACCCGGAACTAGGCCCCTGCCATATTCACAGCTTTGTGTAACTGTGATCCCACAACTGACAGAAACAACTACAGAAGGATTTCTGGCTCCCAGTTTCTGAGGGTTTCAGCCTATCATGGCAGGGAGAGTGTGGAGAACAGTCCACAGGAACAGCAGCATGGGACTGTCACACCACAGTGAAGACTCGGGCAGAGAGGGGAAGGGAACCAGGCAGCAGCTTGGTGTGGCCTTCAAATCCCACCCTTGGTGGAGAGACCTACATTCTAAACATCCCACAATCTCACCAAACAGCACCACCAGCTGGGGAAGAAATACCCAAGACCAGCCTAAAGGTGGAGGAGAAGGGAAAAAGTGAACGGAGCAGAGACAATGAAGATCACTACCTACAGATGCTAGGAGATGATATTCCAGGGGGACCAGCAGGAGAGAAAGCACAGGCTGGAGCGAGGACTCGGGGGTAAGACCATTGGCTGCTCTAGCAGAGGACCCAGGTTCAGTTTCTAGCACCCATATGGCAGCTCACAACCTCCTGTAACTCCAGCTCCAGGGATCTGATGCCCTCTTCTGGCCTCCTCAGGCACTGCACACAAGTGGCATATATTCATACAGACATACACTTGAATATTTTTAAAATACGTCTTTAAGAATAAGAGAGAGAGAGAGAGAGAGAGACAGAGAGAGACAGAGAGAGAGAGAGAGAGAGAGAGAGAGAGAGAGAGAGAGAGAGAGAGAGAGAGCAGACTCACCCCTAGGCTTTCTCCTTCCAGAATGGCTCGTTCATTTTTCCTCAGAGAGGAGGTTCCATCCAAGTACAACAGAGGCATAGAGGCATTAATGGATGGCCAAGAAGACCCATTAGCCACCAGTAGGGACCCATCCCCTCACCAGAAGGCAGCTCATATACCACCCAACTGCTATATATAAATGGAAGGGCTAAGCTGAACTAATTAAAATCCTCTGGTCCAGTAGTTTACTTACAGATGTTAACAAACACGCGTATCTCGACAAAAGTGTTGTCGTCAGCTTCAAATATTAGCTGTGTAAAACAAGATCAGTTTGTTCTGAGGGAGTCCCCACCTCTCTGCAGAGACACACAACAGGCATGTCCACAAGCCTGCAGTGAGCTACAGTGCAAAGGCTGGGCAGCCCATCCATTTCAGGTCCTCACCTCTAATGTGCGGGCAAGGTGGGGGGAATCTCACCCCAGGGACTAAACATGCAAGCAAGAGATGCTCTCGGCACAACCTTGAGGCTTTCAGCTGTGTGAAATGAGGGTGCTGGACACGGCCCTTGTGTCTAACTCCACCAAGGACTGCTCCAGGAAGAAGGACACTGGAGGAAAGATGGAAGGCAAAGCAACAACCCAGGCTGTGTGCATGGGAAGATCGAGTCCAGGGCCACAGCAAGGTACAGCATTCACCAACAAGAGCGCGAAGAAAGCGCAAAGAGAGCTTTACCGGTGTCTGGACACACAAGAACCGGTTCCATTTTGTTTTCCAAACAAGAGGGCGAACCCAGCGTTCTTCACCGAGAGCCTCAGAGCCGTTAAACCCAGCCAGCCATGCAGATAGACTTCACCCTGGTGGCAGCAACTGGGGGGTCCTGGATTCATGTTGCTTACTCTCCCCACTGCCAATGGTCCTTAACGTCCAACCATGATGGCCTCCCTGTGTGTGCAGATCTGGTGAACCAGAGGAAATAACGTTTGTAAACAGGCACTAAATTCTGACCGGCTCAGGCTGGTTTCACTTCCAACAGGTACACAGATAGTAAATTCTGTAATATCAAAACACCGTGTGCGATTCATCCAGCACGGTCCTCTGTCTTAAGCAAACAGGTAAGGGGCTTTTTTTCTGAGACCAATCGGACAGGCAGCTAAGTAAACAACTCCATCCCTCCAAACCCCGTACGTGTGAGCTCTCGTCAAGAGAAACGTTTATTAATGTTGGGTTTGCTTGCAGATGGGCTGGCCACCTGAAAACAAACCAACTGCTAAATTTAGAGGCAAATCGCTAAGGGCTCCAACTCCAGGCTTGCACAAGGAAATCTACAGTCCACCGCTGAACAGCTGTGCCACCTGGGGCACGGACTGAAGCTCAGTGGATCTGTGCCTTGGTTTCCCCATCTCTGAAGTAGAGTCAAGCACACAGGCCGCTCTGTAGGGCATGGGGAGGGTGATTTTCCTCATGTCTTAAGCCTTGGGTTTTCTTTTAAGACTTGGGTTTTTTTGTTTTTAATTGCATACACATGAGGCAGGGTGTGTGCGAGGGCAGATGAATGCAGGTGCCCACAGTGACTGTGAGCCACCCGACGAGGGTGCTGGGAACTGAGCTCAGGTCCTCTGGAACAGCAGTGTGTGCCCTTAACTGTGAAACCATTGCTTCAGCACCTCTTTGTTTTTAATTGATTACATTTCTTTATTGTGTAAGTGTGTGTGTGTGTGTGTGTGTGTGAGAGAGAGAGAGAGAGAGAGAGAGAGTGCACCTGCATGCGTGTGGGAGTGTGGGAGTGTGCCTGCCACAGTGCACATATGGAGGTCAGAGGAAAACTTGCTTGCAGGTGTTGGTTCTCTCTTCCACCACACGCATCCCAGGGGTGGACACGGGCCATCAGGCTCAGCAGCAGCCTCCGTACCCACTGGACCTTCTCTCCAGCCTGGAGCCCCAGCTTCTTAACTCCAGGGGAGAGGGCTGGCCTCTCATTGCGGCACAGACGGCTTCCAGAGCTCTGCAGTCTGTGATTCCCCTCTGCACACCCCGACGCCGCATTTCCAGTGTCTGCAAGAGGCTCACACTGGTCACCTCAGGAGCGGGACAGCGCAGTGCATCTGAGCCACCGATTACCTCACAACGACCTCTTCTCCCTTCATAGTGACCCCTGACACACTATGTTCAGGAAGAAACATGCTACCTGTCAGACCAAATGAGCCTCCATTTTGTAGCTGTATATGACCCATTTGCAATAAATAAAAAGCAAGTGAGGAAAATCAGACAAGGCTGCAATTTAATTTTCATTTCACTGAGAAGCAATAAAAAGCCCTCTAGGACTGCAGCCACAGCCTGATGACAGTGGAGCTTGGCTTAGCACGCCTGAGGCCCTGGGTTCAATTTCCAAAGCAGATGTTGGGGGAGGGGGAGTGAAGGAGAGCTATGATTCCATAGGGGCTGACACAGGATAATCTTAAGAGTTCAAAGCCAGCCTGGGCTACATAGTGAGAGACCAAGCTGAGCTATACAGCAGGACCCTGACTCAAACACACACTTAAAACCTAAGCGATGAGAACTTTGCTAAACACCTGGCCACCGACCAACAGCCATGAAAACCATAATGAGGAGGACGACGACCCAGGGTGGAGTCTAGTCCTGTGACCATGTGAAAGCAAGTTAGACTCCCTGGAGAAATGGGGCCAATAACAAAACCAGCCTCACAGAGTTACTGGGGTTAATGATGAAGTGAGGACAACGCTTGACCCAGAAACAGAGTTCTGGAAACAAAACGCCACCGTGGCTTGGTACAGACAATTCTGCGACTGTGAAACTCGACATTCCTCCCTGGCCTGGACCTCTGTGGCTCCTGCGCCTGCCTCTGCTGTAGTGACCTCTGCTGGGGACCAGGATGGAGATGGGAGAAGGTGGGAAACACAAGCTCATTGTGGTTCCAACCACCTGTGGGAAACTCAGAAAGCAAAAATCAAAAAGCAGTTTCAACTGTTGGCCAGAACTTGGCTGCGGAGGTAACAGGCCTGCCACTTTCTCTCCGCCCCTGGTGTCCAGCTGTGTGGGCTCTCCAGCAGGACAGTCTCTCCAGGGTTCCCCCCTCGGGTTCCTCTGCCAGCAGCCGGCTGGCTGCCAGTGAGGCCTCGCAACCTTGCTGCATTCACACAAACAGGACCCACCTGGTTCCACCTTCGGAGCAGAAGCCAGAGCTGAGGGAGACCCTAGGAACAATCTTAGACATTTAAAGACGTTTCCAAAGGACAGCTGCAGCTAGTGGCCAGTTCCTGCAAGCCGCCCCTAATTAAGGGAGGGAGGAAAGGCAATTCTGTGGTCATACAAGTTTCTACATGTCAAGAGTCAAATCTGTGTTCAGACAATGAACCGGTGTTGCGTGCCTGAAAAAGACTTCAAAAAAAAATAAAATAAAATAAGAAGCTGGGACTTGTACAGTTATTTTCTTTTTAAAAAATTACATCTGTGTATAGTGTGTGTGTGTGTGTGTGTGTGTGTGTGTTTGTGAACATGTACAAAGGCCATGGCATACATGGGAAGGTCAAAGAACAGCTTGTAGGAATCAATCCTCTCCCTCTCCGACGAGAGTCCCGGGGCTCGAACTCCTCTCATCAGGTTTGCCTGTAGGTGCCTTTAACAACTGCGATCCATCTTACTGGCCGATACGGTCATTTTCAAGTCTGTAACTTTACACCGTACCTTAAAAAGAAATGTCAGAGATTCACATCTCAACACAAAAAGGCAAAGTCGTACGACAGAATGTGGTACCGAGGAGTATGCCCACATTCTCATCTGGAGGAAACTTCCATGGACAGGATATAAAAGAGTCACACACAGCAAATCCAGGTGAAAAGATAAACCTGCTTCTTGCATGAAGCCACTCAAACCCAAGCCTAGGAACCGGGGCTTGCGTGTTTGCACGGCCAGCACTACACTGCATTCTGCTTGCTGCGCCAGGTTCAGTTGTTGGTGATGCCAACATTTAGACACTCGGTTCCCTCATGTCTGGTCACCCTGACTCCTCACTTCCACTAGGGAATAACCAGGATGGTCCAGGGTGAGGAGGCCCGTGGGTGACACACTGACACCAGGTCCCCCAGAACTGCCACTTTAGGACTCCGGTGTTGAATCACACTAAGACAACAACCCAGGGTGCTGGTGTGTGCGGCTCATCCCAGCATCATGGGGTGGAGCAGGAAGTGAAGAAGTGCAAGGCCATGCTTAGATACAGAGTTCAAGGCCCACTTGGATACGTGAGATCCTGCCTCAAAAAAAAACTAATAAAATAACAAAGAAAACCAAACCAAAAACTATATCAATAGATACGCATCTGTGAACACACACAAAAAATTGTGGGATATTTCGATCACACTCTGACACCCGCAACTGACAATAAAATTTACCTTGAATTAGAGAGCAGAGCCAGCTGCAAGCTGACCGGAATCAGTCATAGAGGTTTTGGAGGACCCAGGACATATAGAGAGACACAGGAAGTAGTAGAGAGGAGTTAGAAAGATTTGTGGCCAGTTTGGATCAAGGATGGAGAGAGAGAGGACCTCACTTCTCTGATCAGTCAGGTTTTAAACTCATATCTGACTCCCAAGCTTCTATTAGTAATAGAAGAGTTTAGATAATCGTTAAAAATACATATACAATAACCATTAATTAGAAGAAACATTAAGTACTCTAATAGTTTTAGAGTAAAAATGTGCGGATACATGCCCCACTCACTCAGGAATACACATACACACACAGCTCCCAAATGATAACGCTGGCCACGCCTATATTTATGTAAGCATCCACGCATTTATAATACCTAACTATGACATGCATGTATAGACACTATTGTGGTTTGGGTACCTAGTGGGTAAAAGGCTCATGTGTTGAAGGGTTGGTCTCCTTGCGTTGTTCACAAGTAGTTTAGGGAGGGCTGAGTCAGGAGCCTCTGACCTCATCAGTGCATCAGCCATGGATGGAGTCACGTGACACTGTGACTAGACTGGACACACACACACACACACACACACACACACACACACACATCTCTGCCATGAGCTAAGCCACTCTGTTTCACTGTGTGTTCTTGGCCGTCATTCTTGGCCCCTGGTAATACCCCCTCCCCACACAGCCGCTTTCCCTTGTCTCAGAATGAAATATAACTTCTCACAATGAAATAATCAGGGGACACGTGGCAATGGCTAACACTGTCAGCGCGACGGGATCTAGAACTACAGAGACAAGCTCTGGCCGGGCGGTCCATGAAGAATGTTCTAGATTAACTGAGAAGGTAGGTCCAGGGAAGACCTACCCTGGAAGTGGGCGGCACTATTCTACCATCAGGACCATAAAAAGTAGAGCAAGCTGGACACCAGCATCCATCACTCCTGACTGCTCCCTCAGGCTCTCGCCACCACTCCTTCTCCGCCCCCAACCATGTGCCAAAACAAACCCTCCCTTCCTGGAGCTGCTTCAGGTGCCTGGCACCACACTGAAGGCGGAGGAACTCACTTTAGCTTCCCTGTGAGGCAGGAGTGTAACACAGCTTGACCATGTTTAAAGAGAACGGAAAGAACACTTTGAGGCAAACGGACCAAGGATCTCGGGCTAAAAAGAGAAGACAGGTGAGGGGTCAGGACTGTGGAGTTAAGGTTACCATCCTGAGTTCAAGTGGATGGAGCTGGAGACAGACACACAGGGAAGAGGTAAGACAGAACCTAGAACCTTCCACCTGATCTCAGATACACGAGGGAGAGGTAAGGCAGAACCTAGAACCTTCCACCTGATCTCAGACACATGAGGGAGAGGTAAGAGAGAACCTAGAACCTTCCACCTGATCTCAGACACACAGGGGAGAGATAAGACAGAATCTAGAACCTTCCACCTGATCTCAGACACACAGGGGAGAGGTAAGACAGGACCTAGAACCTTCCACCCAACTGCAGACACACAGGGGAGGAGTAAGACAGGACCTAGAACCTTCCATCCAACCTCAAACACACAGGGAAGAGGTAAAACAGGATCTAGAACCTTCCACCCGACCTCAGACACACAGGGGAGAGGTAAGACAGAACCTAGAACCTTCCACCCAATCTCAGAGCACCACCTTTGCTGATTAATTAGAGCACTTAAAAAGTGCTCTAATTAAAGTTTGAAATAACATTTTTGATGCTAACTTTATTATTTTGTTTTTGTTTGTTTTCAGAAAGGGTCTCTGTAGCTCAGGCTAGACAACAGACCTTCCTGCCTCAGCCTCTTAAGCCAGAATGATGTGATGTAAGTATTATATTACAGGAGGTTGGACAACTCCCCTCCAACCTTAGCTAGTGCCTCTGGCAGGGAACAGGAGTGACACATTCATCTCTACTCCTTATGCTTCAGCCTGCCAGAATTTTTAGGATTTATTTGTTATTTTTATTTGTGTGCCTGTATGTATGTGTCCACATGCATGTGAGTGCCTGTTAGCCCCAGATGCCCTGCAGCTGCAGTTACAGCACCCAGTGTGGGCGCTGGGAACTGAACACCAGTCTGACGCAAGAGCAGCAAGTGCTCTGCACCTCTGAGCCCGCAGAACAAGATATGTTTCTGCAAATAACCTCTGACCTAAGAGTCCTTGTCCTGAGATGGACCCAGGCGGTTCCAGTTCAGGGCGGAGACCACAGTGGGACTTGGATGGCAGCAGGCGGTGGCCTGATAGAGAGAGGCCTGGTCCACTCCTGGTCATTTTTCTCTCCACTTCTGGGACGCTGGTGATTGGATCCAGGCCTCATGAGTGCTTGTCAAACGCTCCAACACACACTGAGATACCGTTTCCCCACTCTTCTGAGTTTTGTTTCATTATTCGGGTCCTTAACGTGGAACCTACCTGCTTCAGCCTTCTAAGCAGCCGGGGGAACAAGACTGTAGCACAAGATTCCACTTCCCAGGCAACTTGGGTCCTGCAGTCTCTTCCTTTATCTGCTTCTCTCTCACATTCTTCCTGACTCCTCTCTTTACTTCTCCTCCCACCCTGGCCCCAAGCTGCACTTCTTCTCCAAGTCACCCAGGGTCAAGGCAAGAGGGCTCCACAGGAAAAGAAAGGGGAGGGAGGGAGGAAGAAATGCCTCTGGCCCTATGAGTCCACAGCTTCATAGACTCAACCAATGAGGGCAAAGTGTGTATACTGAACACGTACAGGCTGGTTTTTGTCATTCCCTAAATGATAGTCTGACAACCACTGGAATGGTAGAGGCATTACATTTGAAGTTACAGATAACATAGAGATTATTTATTGTAGAAAGCCGGTTGCAGTAGTGCAAACCTTTACTCTGAAGGCTAGAAGGCAGCAAGGTCACTTGGGCCTAGCGAGCCCAGGAGCTCAAGACCCAGCCAGAGGAACGCACCAAGATAAAGGAAAATCACCGAACATAAGCAGGAGGGTAGTATGTAGGCTTTCTGCTAATGGTACCACCACCGCAAGGGACTCAACACAGGGACCAGGGCACGCCCGATCTGTAGGTGACCACTCCGGGCTCAAGTTTTGGGTCAAAGATGATTGCTGTCTAGGGAGGAACTAAAAGAGGGGAGAATGAAAGGGAAAAAGAAGAGAAACCCTATGTGGCGCGTATTAATGTCATCCTAGGGACAGCGGATTCCGACCCAAGTGCAGAAGGATGCAAAGTCACTGACAGCAACAACAAAAGTTCCCCAAAGCCAGCATTAGCTACTGCCCAAGCCGCATTATAATTCGGATCAGGCCAGGAAAGAAAAGAGACTGAAAAAACAGTTATCGTTTGCAGTTGTCGTTTGCAATATCCTCTGCGAGCACATTGCGACAGAGAAGCACAAGGCTCGCACCGGTAAGAAGGCCGGTGACTGGGCTAGGTGACTTCTTCCTGGCGAGCCCTGGGCTCTCTGGGAACTTCGCCAGGCGCGACGGAGCCAGCAGCACTCAGCGAGATGCCACCGCCTCTGGCCAACAAACAGCTGGGCAATGAATGAAGCTGTCACTTACCGCTTCTGGTTCATGGAGGCCACCTGCAGCCACTCGTTGGTGGTGGGGTTGTAGGAGTGTGCGGCCGAGATCTCCTGGCTGGTGATCCTGTACCCGCCCACGATGAAGAGGTAGTTGTCCAAGATGGCTGAGCCATAGCCCCTGACGTTCACCAGATCAGGGGGCAGGTTGTTAGCCAGCGGGAACCAGCGTTCCGTGGACTCTTCGTACCTAAGCATGGACGGTGGCTCCCCCTGATACGGATGCGGGGCCAAGGGTCCCCCGAGGAAGTCCCCCAGGGCCACCAGGACCGGAGTCCCGCGCATGCGGTCCTCCCTCAGCCTCTGCTTCAGGCTGCAGTCCCCGGGACCGGGCGGTGGCGACAGCAGCAGCGGGAAGTGCGGCTGGCACAGCACCTGGTGGAAGCGTAGGGCCATGAAGCGCAGGCAGGCGTCCTGCAGGTCGGGCAGCCCGTACACCTGAGCCAGGCGGTACAGCTCCAAGCAGTTGCCCAGACGCACGTGCGACAGCAGCAGGCGCAGTAGCGCCGTGACCTGCAGGAAGGACGCGGCCTCCACCAGCTCGGCCAGCACGCTGGCCTCGGCCAGCTCGTCCTCGGCCAGGCCCCAGCCCTCGCGCGCGCCGCCCGCGTTGATGAAGTCCAGCACCAGCCGCAGGCCCGGTGC